GGTCGATTTCGCAAAGTGGAAGGATGGATCTTGGTGTCCAGTTTGCTCTTGGAATTCCTTGTACAATTACCTCTGGAGTTATATTATATTCTTAAATCCTTTTTAATTCTTTTGCAGTTCACTATACTCCCTCTGAAAGCAGGGATTTTGTTGTATTTTGCTCATTACTAAATGTTACTGGTGTATGGTAGATACTTCTTGTGGTAAAATGAGTCAGTGAATAAGCCAAGTATCACTGGAATCCTCCCAGGGCAATTATTAAGAATATAATTTGCTGGTGGTGTGAGATAAAATCTGCCTAGAAGGCTACTATGTTTATGAATGGAAACTTGAGAAAAGAATAAGCTCTTTGGTTTGCCAGAAAATGATATTTCTATTTTGAACAAGCAGTTCAAGAACACTGATTCTAGATGAATAAATATGCTTTGGAAATATCAAGAGACCAATTGACCTAGTTGTATTTAATTTAAAGACAAAGATAACACCCATGTGAAACATCCCCAGTGTCTATTAGAATAAAACGTGGGACACCAATGACTTTCATCTCACAGGGATTTGACACAGGTATGCTGTAATGTTATTTTAATTATGTATCAATTTGAGTTCTGAGATTACCAATGTGTTAAGGCACTAAAATAAAACTTAAAAACCCAATAATTTTAGTGGAAAATTGAATGTCTTAAACAAGCTGGTACACTTTCTTTGGCAAATGATCTTCTTTTTGTTATTCTGTAGTTTACCTATGTACATTCTCCCTTTCCATGGCATCAGCCAAGTGGCTTCTCCGTGAATGAAGCACAAGGAAAGTGAGAGGAGACGTGTTTAAGGGTAGATAATGCCAGGTGGACAGTGAAAAATTGCTGCAAAAAGCTTACCTGGCTCATCTGGAGAGTGAGTTGGAAAACAAAATCATTTCCTAGGAGTGTTCTAAATCATGCCTACTTCTCGTAGGGCTCATATAATAATAGAACTGAGCACAGGAACACAAGAGAATGTGTACACATTGTAAGTTATGAATATGGTTGGTTTCTTTTTTTGGCAAGATGTTTAAAGAAAGTTTTGTCAGGATTATATGAGGGTGTTCATTGCCTATAGGCTTGTATATAGTATTTATGAAGAAATCAAACAACCAAACTATTACCCAGAACTGAGTTCCACTGATAAAGGAATAGCCTGGAGATTTCAAAATTTCATATGTTGATAGTTTCTTATCGTATAACCCTAAGTTCCTTGGGTAGAATTGAGAATTAAGGTGAATGCAAAAGAGAGCACTAGAACCACGTCACCGAAATTCTTGCCCGCCTGTGATCACAATAGGGTTTCTGAGAAGCACTTCTAGAATTGCCTCTAATCTTCTGTAGTCCCAATTCTATATCCTCTGACTTTATTGTTTAAGGTCAAAGTTTATTGAACGAGGTTGCTGGAGAAAGAGAAGTGTGTTCGCTGCTGCTCTGACAAGAGGGAAAAAGGAGAAACAACAAAATGCAGACACACGGAAAGGGTTTCCAAATGTGGAAGTCCGGGGAAACCAGAATGAAGACAAAAGCTTCCTCTGTGCTTTAAACAACTGAAGTTCACATTTTCACCTTGCAAAACAAATGATGTGGTGTAGTATCGTTAGTGTTGTCAGGGAATACTAGCGGGTAAAATAGCCACGTTTAAGAAAGATGGTTCAGAAAAGTGTTCTTAGAAAGCTTTCTTTTAAGAGATTTCCAACACAAAATGGTTTAAGTAAAATCTAATGCTTTGGTGCTTCAGAAGTGTCATTTAGCAGCAGTGAGGCAGTGCGATAGGAGCAAGGTCAGAATCAGACTCTGGTGTGTGTGACTTCGAGAAAATTTATGATGCTGTCTCATTTTTCTCACCCAATGGGCTTGCTCTATACCTACGTAAAATGAGGTTTAATGAGGATTGAATTAGTTAATAGAGACAAAGAATAAAAAGATGCATGGGGTTGAATATTTTATGTTATAAATTGTCAAATCATTTCTATATGGAAAGTTATATGAACAAATATTCTAGGAAAAGATATAAAGTTGTCAGCTGCACTTGCTCCCTTAAAAATTTGGCTTCACATTGATGCCTGGTTTCCCCCATTCCACAGTGATTCAAATCAGAACCCACGATATTCTTCAGATTTAAGAGGTTAATTCATGCCTCCTAATCAATATTGTGTACTTTTCGAAATTTCACTGAATGGTCACTGAGACTGTTTGACTTTTCTGAGCATGGGTGACTCAGTAAATTAGTGAGACTTTCACTGAATGCTGCAAAAATAGCTGAACTACTAGTTTAAAGATGATGAAAGTTGCTTTTCCTTGAATAAACTCTTGATTTTATTTTGCCTTTAAAGATTTTCTTCTTAAAACATTAGGATACCTTGATGAACTTGCTAACTGTAGGTTTTTGGTGTAGTAATAGCAATTAGTGAAGTAAATCTTTACTGGTGTCTTTAGAGACTATTAAGCCCTAAGTTTTGTCAGACTCTGAAGATCTGCACCTTTCTACTTCCGAAGTTATGTTGTTTAAACAGAAATTCCTGACGCCATTGGCTAATGGTAGAAATTCAGAATCATTAGCTAAATTAATTGTTTCATGGGCTTGGTCTTTAGAATGTTATAAACTGTAATGGAATTACTGAGTTGAGAGCAATTAATTGGATGTACTTCAAATATATTCTAACCTAATGCTGCACCTGGCACTCTTTATGGCCACTTAAAAACTACCAAAAGAAAACTATTGATGAATCCCAGTGCTATCAAAATAAACCATCTAGAACAGTGTAAAAATGCCTCAGCTCTGTACGGTTTACATCACCTCACAATCCAAAAAGGCATTCCCAAGACCATCTCTTAAGTGTTATTTCAGTTCCCTATGCTTTTAAACAGGGAATGAGAATTTAAAATAGTGTCTCTAAGGTTTCAAAGCCCATAAATCACAGAAAGAAGAAGGGGGGGTAGGTGTTGCACATTTAGGACTCAAATTCAGATTTCAACAGGTCAGAGATGAGTGAAGATGGCATGAGCTCTCAGGATCTAAAAGAGAGTATGGGATGAAAAATGGGAGGAACTGGAATGCTAATTGTACTTTAACTGGCCAGGCAATAATGAGGCCCACGGGTGATTGTCAAGTGGAATGTGGCCCCAGGAAAACCATGTACTATGATTTCTGAACAAACTTAGATGTGCAAAGTTTTACAGGACATAATCATGCATTTAAATGTTGGTAACTAATATTTAAGTTATTACCACATGGGTCAAATAAAACATGCCCATGGGCTACCAGGAAGCTACCTCTGGACTGGATTCTACCATTTTCTGTACATCACAAGTGCTATTAAAAATGAAGGATGTTGAAATGCAGTATTATTGTTCAATATTAATGACCAACCAAAGGAATTTTTTAAAAGAGAAACTAGAGTGTTGCATTAATCAACAGATAGCAGGTACCTGATAGGTAGCAGCAACATATTTAGTACTATGATTATGAATATTTTAAAAGATAGCTGTCCTTGATTCCTTACTATTTGGTTTATAAACAATTTGACTGGGAAAAGAAAAACATTTCCTGACAGGGTTGGAAATGGTTATTGGTATGGATATAAAGGGAGGATCAAAGTTGTATTTAAAGAATGATTCTAAAAAAGTTGAGGGTAAAATAAGGACTTTTCAAGTTTCTTTCCAGCATTGTGTTCAGATCATTATACCAAAATGGGAGTGGGCTGCTAATGCAACAGACAGTGTGGATATGTTATTATCCTAGGCTACTGTCGTCAAATTGAAATATTATGGTTGACAAAGCTGAAATGAAAATTTTGTACACAGAGAGGTTGGGGATAAATGAAGAAATATACAACTGGAGTGAAACAACTTGTGATACCCTGAGGGATAAGAAGAGAAATGTAGAGGATCATGGAGCCTATGTGTCAGCCGCTCCAAACAGTCCAGAGCATCTGCTTGGTGGATAAAGCAAAGGGCAAGGGACAGGCATCCATTCCTACTTCTGGCATTGATTGCTCTGAGACCTAGAGGCACAGAATGTCATCTTTGGGCATTCAGGTCACCATTAAGTCAAAAAAAGATAATGCACACCCCAAAGCCACCCTGTGCATAATTTTTGACATCTATAAACCATTTGCAGATCATTTTAAATCAAAGTTGTCACAGAACCAGGGAATGTTATTCTCTATCTCCATAATTTACAAGATTAATGAAGAATTACAGTGTCCAGCCGCCAGTCAAATGCCTACTGGAATATTCCTGTTTGCTTTTCATCTCTGCTCATTCTGGAACCCATCACGTTTATTTTCTAGGAATGTTCTCTCTGTTCATTTTAGCTCTGCATTTAATTTAAATAAGAAAGCAGCTCTGGGCTGATTCTTTATTTAAATTGCAGTCTCCACACTCCCCTTTGGAGAATGAGGCATCCATATATGTGTAAAGCTGTAGTTAGGCAAAAAGATGAATAAGTTACATACTAATATCCAGGGGCCCAGCTCTCGAGCATGAATTATACAAAGTTCACTGCCCTTGTTTGCATCCTTTCGAGCAATCCTTTGGTAGCTTTGAGTAAGATGTTAATTTCATACTTAGCTCACAGTCTTACCTCCATTCTTTAGAAAATAATAACATAAATGAAGAATTCGAATGTAGACTTTACTGATATCTCTCTTATAGCTTGATTCATAATATAGAAACTAATATGCTTTCTTTCTACCTACTCTAATTACATATAAAACAACAAAACAATCCCAAAATAAAAGTAAACATACAAAACAGTTCACAACCTGTAGAAGAAATCAAGATATTAGATGAGTTCATATTGCTTCATGTAGTCTGTCTTCTAACCCCCTTGGAAATTAACCTCAGTAAATACAACATTTTCAACAGTATAATGCATTGAATTTGTGCTCTAAAACTTTTATTGGGTGAGGAAGTGAAGTTTTAAAGCCGGTCTACTTTGTAAGTTCTCTCTCAAACAAATCTTTGCAGATACGATACCTTTCGAAGGGGCTTGAGCTTGGTCTCCATTATGAAGTCATACTTGCAGAGCTCGCAGCAACGCGTGTCTGAGCTCTTGATCCACTGGTGGAGACAGGACTGGTGGACAAAGCGCAGGGTCCCCGTGCAGCGGCAGGGTGTGATGAGGGGACTCTCCTCATCCCCTTCACAATGACAAATCCTGGAGAAGGACAAAGCAGCCTGTGTGAGCTCTCCCAGAGAACATTTCTCACCACCACTAGAGTTCTACCCCTGGCTGTATCAGCTGTATTAGAAACCGTAACCTAAGAATTAGAACACAACAACATTTCACTCCAGCTTGGATGCTAGGACTGAACCTGGGACCAGTATTAATTATTTTCAATTGTCTGGTCACTGCTAGACTAGAGTCATGTTATAAGATGTTAGACACTGGCACATCAAAAATACTGTACACTGTCGTTTTGCTCTAACTGAAGCCAGTTTTAAGAGCATAACTAATGAGCCATGTCCAAGTTTAATATATTGAATAGGTCAATCTCTGTGGGGTTTTAATATATATACAAGTTGTAACTTGTAAGTACTCTAAAGAATGGTGTGCTTGATAACTTCATTGTGTTATTTTGGTGATAGTTTTATAGGGCTATTGTATAAGATTTAGTAAATATGGTACCTTACCAGTGTGGAAGAATTCTGAAAATTGTAAGACCATATATAGTTATTAAATAAGGTTAATGCTGAAAGTTTTAGTCTAAATATCTTACAAAGATTTTCCTAGAGAGATACACATCTATTAAGTCACTATGAATTTCCAAATTATCAATAGTCATTATTATGTAAAAATTACAAAAATTTACTTGTCACATAAAATTTAAATTTAGTAAACCCTACTGTTTGAAAATGCTAATTACTATTTCTGCCAATGAATTGAGAGTTCAACTAGTTTCTAAATTATTACAAATTCTAATTTCATATACTTAAAGTCTATGAAATCTTCATTATTCTCCTATGCAGAGTTTTAGAAATAATTTATTTTCCTCTTTGAGTGAGATAAGGCTTTCATAACTCTAATTCTACTTTGTGAACTAAAAAAGTAGCCCTTCAGAAATCTTAATGATTTAAACAGCTGTTCAAAGCTACTAATAAATTTAATTAGAAATACTGCTTTATACCTGTTAGAAATATGAATATTGAATGTAACATTTAAAAAAATTTTAAAATCTACACAATTACTTTTTTTGAGTGGAGTCACAGCAGCAAGCTTGAAGTATTAATAAAGTGCTGCCGCTGCTCTTTCCTCAGAGGTATATGCACTCTTTGCTCCAGAAGCATGAGGTTTAAAGAGTGCATTTTACTCTTATTGGTCCCTCAGATTTCTGGTGCAGTAAAATACAGGAATTGAAACCCAATGCTCCTTCACCCTCAAAATAAAGAAGTATAACAACATGCCCTAGCATTTTATATTAATTTCTTAAGTAAGAAGTAAAGTAAGCAAGAAAGAACTAGTGATCACTACAGTCCCAGGGTGGGAACCATGGGAATGCAAACACAGGAAAGTTCCAAGTTGACACCTTCCTCTCCCTGGACTGAGTTAGGAAGTGGAGGTCTCTGGCACAGCACCACATATCAGAGACCAATGTGGCAGAGGAAAACCAAAAGAATATCTGAGTCTTATTCATTAATATCAAAACTGAAATCTCTCCTTTCTCCAAAGCAGTCATCAGAAACGGGGCCTGTTATACCATGTACCATAGTGGATGCCACAACAGAGTCACAGCATTGATGCTCAGTAGATGTTAGTTGAATAGAATTAAATTCAGCCAATAGAGTATGATTTATTACAAGAGAAGACAGTGTAGGAAGCCTGATCTTCTATAGCACTTAATTTGACCACATTTACTTTTGGAGCCACTGAAATCCAGTGAATTATAAAGAAGTAGTATTTCATGGGGTCCTTGAGCCTCTTTTCTCCCTGCCTGTACACAAAGGTAAGTCCTTCCGACCAGGGTGAGCAAACCATACCCCATTACTGTCCACTGAATGTTTTCATATATAGATTCACTGGAGCAAGGCCTCCTCACCCTTTGGTTTCTAAAATGTTTAGAGCTATGTTTGCAGTGTAGCAGCATAGGCCAGTAGTTGTTGCCAAGACCATGGCTGCAAAGGCTAACATACTTGCTACCTGGCCCATCTCAGAAATATGTTTGTAGCTCCCCATCTTAAAACATACAGAGTAATTCTCAGTTAAATATAGTATGAATATTATTGACAACAATGAAAATAAATTTTATAAGTCACCCCTGCAAGTGACAAAATAATTGAAGTAAATATTACATAAGGAAAGTAACAAAAGAGTCACCACATAAATGAAAGACCTTCTTGGCCTGGCTTTGAAGCTCTCTTCTGCAGATAAAATTTCTCATTTGAAAAAGGAAAATTTGCACTTAATGTCATATAATAATTCATCACTACAAAAAGACTGTGTCAAATACTTCTAGCTGCCAAAATGATTTTGAGTCTCTGACTTTTTACTGACATGAAAAAAGTAATTTATTCATAAGCAGCTTTAAACAAAGACCTAGCTGATTAGTGAGTTCAAACCGACCCGACCAGCTTACTGATTATAGCCCAACTTCCTGTGTCCTAAAATATCTTATTAAAATTTTTTGGTAAAACACTTATGTGAGTCATCACTGGCAATATTATTTTCTCATAAGATTAAAGTTATTTCCCATTGAGAAAGTCAAAAGCTTGGTTCGTCTTCATTTGCACTTGATTTATTTTTGCAAGTTTTAGCATTTTGAACTTTTTCTAAATTATCCAGCTCAAGTTGGACCCCAAGAGTCTTTTTTAAAAACCATATTTAGATTGTTCTAAATGAATTAAGAGCTAAACATCAAGTTCAAATAGCTACTCAAAATAAAAAATAATGTGGTAGTGTCATTAAAGAAAGAATTAAGCAATTCCTAAATTGATGTACTTCACACAAATCATAATTGCTGAATTATAAATGAAAACACAGTAATGAAAACATAAACATGCTTCTCCCAACAGAATAATTGTGTAGAGAAAATGATGTTAACTCCATGATAAAATTATATTGTGAAATATTCATAATTTTGATGCATTTTTACCTGATGGGAAATTGAGGCTTGGGAATCCAGTGATTCCATTTTATTATTAGTGACCCACGTTGGTGCCTGACACCCAGTGACAGAAGCAAGCTGGATTCACAGATTTTATTGGCATTTTAATATCTTAACAGTCTGCTAACAGTCTAATCAACAATTTGTTGAGATTTTCACATTTAGAACTTGATGTACCTTAACATAATTTTCCACCTTTCTGCAAGTAGAAGACCACAAATGCTATGCAGCAAATTTACTTGTAGACTTTTTGTGGTAGTATAGTTAAAGCTCTCTGCCTTAATAGTTGAGTTTAAGGAAAATCAGCTTCTTTTGCTTAGGCCTTATGTATCACAAAATGATCTTTACCAGCTCCCCATCTTTACCAAGGATTCTTGGCTCCACTAGAAAACTATTTTTTGGCTTGATTTAAAAAATAAACTATCTCTTTAAAAATAAATTTTGCAGCCAAGTGCAGTGGTATATACCTGTAATCCCAGCACTTGAGAGGCTGAGGCAGGAGGATTGCCAGGAGTTCAAAACCAGCCTGGAATACACAGCAAGACCCTGTCTTAAAATATATATATATATTTTTTTTATGAAGACCATAGTGGTCAGATAACTTTGGAAGTTTTAAAATTCATTTATGTAGTTCAAATACTATTTTTTCTTAGTTCTCAATATATGCACAGATAATTAACAATAGACTCGGTGTGGAGGGCAAACCGAGATGACAAGAAAAGAACACAGAGGCAGGGACCAGGGTGGGAGATATAATGCAATCATCTTGGTAATAAGAACCTGGACCAACGTGGCACCATTGAGGAGGAAACAGGTGGCTTTCAGGCTGCTGCGTCTGCAGAGACATCTGAGTACCTGTTAGTTCCCATGACCAGCTGTGGTGGCCAAGCGCTTTTACAATAGGATTTGGTTCCTAACGGCCACTGTCCTTGTGTTCTTCAGGGAGCATCAGAAGCACAGGCTTCCCAACACTCTCTACCCAGTCTTCAGGCCAGCTTTACCCCTTCCCTTTGGCATAGTGTCCTAAGGCTATCCCCTCGCTTCCCTAACCACCCTTCTCCAACTAACTAGTCCATAAACACAGTAATGTGGATACTACTGTGCTTGTATTGGTTTAATTTGGATGTTAATCATTCAAAATTAATCATTATGGTTCAGAATTTGGCAGTCATTCTTGAAGCTCCCTTTACCAAGCTGGATAGTTATTACAAATATTTTTGGCAGAATCTGTATCGAAAGGTATGAAGCAAAGCAGAAATTAGTGCTCAAAGAAATGAGCAAAGAGACATAATCTCCCTCTGTGTCTCTCTCAGTATAGCATCGCAGCCCAAGGATAGCAGACTGTTATGGCTTGTGTTTAGCTGTGTCGTCAGAGCCTCATGCGGTCATAGGTGGGACTTCTTTAGAGGTGGCTGGATCTAGTGTGTCATGCTGGAATTGATTCATGGTGCAATGCTAGGATCAAGGGCACTAGGATTAAAGGTGTGAGTGCTGCCTGCCCTAAGCAGTCTGAATTAGATAAAAGGGGCAGAACACACTGGTAAAGTACTTTGTTGCTTTTGCTACCTTGTGGGCACCACAAACTCTTTGCCTTTGCAATGCCCCTCTGCCAACCACCCTGCCTTGAAGACAGCCACTTATGGACTGAAACCTCTGCAAACTATATGCACCCCCTGTGACTTTGGGTGTCAGGGAAAACATGAACTTGTTTATCAACAGAAATGAAGATGACACAGAGGACTAGACACTTTAAAAAGCATATCCAGGCAAGAGAATAGCCAGTTGTTCAATGAATGCCATTGAGAAGTCAAGTAAGTGTAGGTAAAGTAAGATTGGTAGAGGAGTATCTTTGGACAACCAGAAAAGGGACACAGAAGCCTCTTCCTGGAACAAAACACAGAGAAAAATGCTAGGTGGACTTGCAAAGGTGGTGGAAGCAGGGAAAACTGCAGTAGCTGGGTGTGAGTAGTCTCTTCTCTGTGCTAGAGGAGACAGCACGTATTGAAACAGGATACAGGAAGGCAGAAGGTTAGGGCATAGGGTTAAGGTCTCACAG